CCCGTATGCTCTTCTCCACCATAAACCGCCTACTCCGCCCAATTGACCCCCCCCAACCCAGCAGACGCCCCCGAGCTTTGCACCAGGTTCCTTGACTTCTTTGAGGACAAAGTCAACTCCATCCACCAGGAACTCCAGGCTTCTGCCCCATCCCATCCACATGCCACACCACCTCCAGTCACTGTTCGCTCAACTCAACACCTGCCTCAATGTTGTCTCTCCTCCTTTGCACCAGTGGATGCCACACAGGTTACCAAACTTGTCTCAAAAGCTAAGGCTACAACCTGCTCCCTCGACCCCATGCCCTCTGCCCTGGTCAAAACTTGCCTACCCATCCTCTGCTCCACCATTGTTAAAATTATCAACTCCTCCCTGGAATCAGGCAAGGTTCCCGCCGACCTCAAGATAGCAGCTGTCACCCCCATCGTCAAAAAACTGGTCTCGACCCCGAGGACCCCAGCAACTTCCGGCCGATCTCCAACCTTCCTTTTCTTAGCAAGATCATGGAAAGAGCAGTTGCTGCCCAACTCCACCATCATATGTCCGACCATGAGCTCTACGAACCCTTCCAATCAGGCTTCAGATCCAACCACAGCACAGAGACGGCCCTTATTAAAATAACCAATGACCTCCTCATAGCCGCCGATTCAGGCCTCGTCAGCATCCTTATCCTCCTGGACATCTCCGCCGCATTCAACACAGTCTCCCACACTATCCTACTCAACCGCCTATCCGTCTACCTTGGCCTCTCTGGTACAGCCCTCTCCTGGTTCCATTCCTACCTCTCCAACAGGCAACAGTTTGTGACCATCGGAAAATCCAGCTCTCCCCCAGCCCCTGTCAACCAAGGTGTGCCGCAAGGTTCAGTGCTCGGCCCCCTTCTATTCAACATCTACATGCTCCCCCTTGGTGAAATCATCCGCCGACATGGTCTCAACTTCCACTCCTATGCCGACGACACCCAACTCTACATCAGTACCAATCCATCATCCCAGCTACCCCCACTGTCACTTGTCAACTGCCTCCGCGACATCCAAGCCTGGATGTCAAAAAATCTACTTAAACTCAACAATAACAAAACAGAGCTCATGGTTGTGGCCCCAAAAACACTGCTCCGGAAGGTTGGAGATCTGCTCCTCACCATCGATGGCGGCTCCATCCACCCTTCCCCTGAGGTTCGCAGCCTGGGCGTCACTCTGGACTCCAGCCTCACCTTCAACTCCCACATCAGATCTACTGTCAAAACTGCTTTCTTTCACCTACGAAACATCTCCAGACTCCGGCCCTCTCTCCCCGACCCCGTTGCAGAAACATTAATTCATACCTTCATCTCTTCTCGTCTGGACTACTGCAATGGAGTTCTGTTCGGGGTCACCAGCAAAGCCCTGGACAGGCTCCAGTACGTCCAGAACTCTGCAGCCAGGCTCCTCACCCACACTAAGCCCTGGCAACACATCACCCCTACCCTCATCCACCTTCACTGGCTCCCGGTCAAGTCACGCATCCAGTACAAACTCCTCCTGCTAACTTACAAATCTCTCCACTCCCTAGCCCCTCCATACATCTCTGACCTCCTTCAGCCCTACACCCCCTCTCGTCACCTGCGGTCCTCTGACAAAGGGCTGCTCTCCATCCAGCGCTCCAAGCTGAAAACATTTGGCAACAGAGCCTTCAGTGTCGCAGCCCCCACCCTCTGGAATTCTCTCCCCTGTGCAATCAGGAATGCAGACACTCTGGACACCTTCAAAAAACACCTCAAACACCATCTGTTCACTCAGGCCTTTGGCCTCAACTAATATACAGTACTCAGCAACCTATTCCTGTTTTTGTTTTCTTCAGCCTATGTATCTTTATTATTACTTTTTGTTTTGTTACTTCCCATTGTAAAGCGTCCTTGGGTTTCGTGAAAGGCGCTATATAAATTGAAATTATTATTATTATTATTATTATTAAACCATGTATTGATATTTGTCTCTGCTGCACATTGTGATTTATCTCTAAACTAGCAAACTGAAAGCTGCGTGTTATACATTTCCAGTTTAATACCAGTTATATATCTACAGATTCAATATTTATGTTTACAAAATGGACGTAGAGGATTCCATGGTTGCTATGGTTTGACGCAGGACTAGCGTCAATATCGGATCAATATTTAAACCATAACAACCTGAAAACTACCTGAAGACGGTCACGAAAATATTTTCTCCGCTTTCACTCGACGATTCTGCCAAATTATCGCTTCTTCTCAAGTCTTTTTACATCCCGACAAGAGTCAGAGAACCCCTGAGAGTTATTACAGCGAGAAAACACACTTTAATTATGGAAAATGTAAGATTTCATAACGTTGAAAGTCCCCGTTGTTTCCAATGTGCTTTGCCGTCGACATTTTCAGAAACCTCACAGTTTACTGATGTTTATCAAATCATTTAGTCTCCTGTAACGATAAGTAGGCCTACCATTAAACAGTGTAACTATCAGATTAAGGTCAAGTATACTGTGACGACTCAATTAATACATCTTTGCATTAAAAACTACCAAAAATACACATGCATTCATCAAAACTAGGCTATATGACAATATTAACAAATAAATGTTGTATCTAATACAAATCATTTATATTAACATTTTAGGCTATATCACCCAGCTTCAAGCTGAAATACATTCATATTGTAACTTTGAATCAAGCTAATTAAAGTCACTCACTTTAACTTAGCATTATTTCCATCATATACATGTGCAATATTATATGTTCAAACAATAAACAGACATATGCTTATTATATAACATTGTAATCACGTCACATATGTGTCACTAAAGCACAATATTAACTGACATGAGGGCCTAAAGGTGGCTCTTGTTTTGTTACCGGACCTGTCTCGTCTTGAGGAGGTTTTCAGACTTTGATTACATATTTCATGTTCCTTCATTTATGATTTTTATCCAACAACCACATCCATCTTTGGCAAGTTAATCTTCCAGCACATAAAACTAGTAATAACACATTTGATTTGTATACTACGACATGACAAAATACTTGAAAAAGGTCCATCCTGCATGTACTTGTAGAGCCTCATCCTAACATGAGTGTGTGTTGTTGCAGGGTCGAGTGCCCGTCCTCCCGCAGGACAACCAGACAGGAAGGAGAGTCTCTGCCCGCCAGAGGAGGCCTGCAGTCTGCAGACAGTGTTCCTGCTGCAGGGACGACCAGGTGAGACATCTGATCCTCAACTCTGTTCCTTGAAATTGTACACAGTTTAATCCACAAGATTGTTTGACAGGTTTACAAAAAGGCAAACACATGGAGTATATTGTCAATACTAAATAGTTTGAGAAGGTCCATTGTACAGGACTAATGCCCCAAATACTCAAATTTCAAGTAATCCTCTGCATCTGATGTAGATGTTTCCTCTTGTAAAATGATAAAAGTATGTTGTTAAGTAAGAAGTTTACTAGAGTCTGACATCCTCTCGTGTTTTGCTGACCTTCTCCAGGTGCCACATACAAAGCGCCGGCGCCCTGCTGCTTCTGCAGACCTTCCCCAGAAAAGAAAGCAGACCTCCGCGGCTCTTCCTCCTAAACCTGCTGACCTGCCACCTGTCTCTAATGTGGCCTCCAGCCCCCGGACCTCCAATGCTCCCCTGCACCTCGAAGACCCTATCAGGATCCACAACCGCTCAGTCGAGGAGTACCAGCTCATCTACCATGAAGTTGTGGATAACATGCTGAGGTACGTTGCGTCACAAATGAGTCAGTTCATTTACAGAGTTTCCACTCTCTTAGAAATCGATCTCTCTATTTTCCTTCATCATAAAGATTTATTTTTGTGTTTCTCCTCTCAGGTTCCCGGACGGTCGCCTGCGTCCATATAGTTTGGGTCTGGGTCGTCGTATCAAGCAGAAGCTGTGGGAGCGACTGGACCGTCCGATGTTCACAGAGACAGTGGATGAAGACGGTCTGGTCCATGTGGACGTGTCCTACGGTGCTGGAGTCCAGCCTCCGCTCTACAACGTGGATGTTTCTGGTGAACCAGAGCCCGAATATCCACCAGCAAAAAGGGCAAAGCACTAAGACACACTCTCATAAGCTGACATGTCTAATAATACTGTGCTTTAAGTTTAGTTTAGTTTTTTTTTAAAGTATGGCAGTTAAGTTTAAGTTAATTAAGTGTAGAGATACGTTTTTAGTGCCAAGCATAAGTATTATGTGCTAAGTCTTTAGTTTTAAGTATTTAGTAATAAGTATAAAGTGTTAAGAGTAAGTGTTTAGTTTAAGTTTTTAGTTATAGTAATTTGTTTGAAGTATTTCATATTAAGTGTTACGTTTTTAGTGCCAAGCACAAGTATTAAGTGTCAAGTCTTTAATTTTAAGTATTTAGTAATAATTATAAAGTGTTAAGAGTAAGTGTTTAGTTTAAGTTTTCTGTTTAAGTACTAAGTTGAAGTATTACGTTTAAGTATTTAGTGTTAAGAGTAAGTATTTAGTAGTAAGTATAAGTATTTAGTGTTTAGTTTAAGTATTTAGTAATACGTTTAAGTATTTAGTGTTAAGAATAAGTAGTGTTAAGAGTTAGTATTTAGTTGAGTTAAGTTTACTTTCATTGATCTTAATGTATCTCACCACTGATGAATTGTCTTCCTCTGAATCAGTTCCTGCTCCTCTGTTAACAGTCTTCTTACTCCAGCTTCAGCCTCAACAGCAACAGTTATCACCTGCCAGAACACCTGCTCCACCCTCCAGCCTCCACCTGTTACTTCTACCAGACAAAACATCAGCCTTGAGCTGCAGCCTGTGAGATGACAGACTCCTCTCCACCTGCAGCCGCTGTCTCTCTGTTGCCTACATCCTCTACCAGCAGCTTCAGCATCAAACTGCTGCCTCACTCTTCACCTGCAGCCTCCGTCAGCAACCTGCAGATTCTGACAGATCACTGCGGTCAAACCTCCACCTTCAGCGCTTCCGCCTCCACCTGCAGATTCCTACAGCCATCTGAAGACGACCACTCCCCCTGAAGATCCCCACAGAAAGCTGTGGCCAAACCTCCACCTACAGCCTCTATAAGGAAACCTGCACAGATGTTATCCTACTGCCATGTGGAGACCTGAGTGGAACAGCAAGGACCAGAGAAACACACGCAGATATAGTCCTTCAGTTAATATGCAAACATATTTCTGTGTTATTAAAGCTGGCTCTCTGTTTACATTCTGTTCACTTGTTCTTCTTCTCACAGGTGTTTTCAAACGTTGTGAAAGACTGAGCTCACACTCCTCAACATGAACCTGACTGACTGTGATGATGCCTTCATGAAACGAGAGAGCTCCACTGTACGTACAGTATAGCAGTATGAGATTTCTTAACAACACTCTGAGTGTATTGGGATTTTTAATGGAAGTTCGGTGATGAATTATATTTGAATGCAACACCTTACACTTCCAGATCTACCAGGAGCTGCTTCAGGGCCCTGAGGACAACTCCTTTTACAACAGCTCTGTTCCAGAGATGCTTCCTCCTCCTCCACATCCTCAACCTTCACCACCCCTCCTGCTCATCGCCAGAACTAAGAGTGCCCCACCCCATCTCAGCAACCACCACCAGTTTCTCCTGCAGCCACCGCCTAAGAGGAAGAGACGTAAAGAAAAAAGGAAAGGTAAAGGCGAGGCAGCGGAAGACGGTGCCCCTCAACACAAAATCCCCCACATGGCGGTGGATCTGCAAGAAACGCCAGATGAGAAGCAAGGGGCCGAGTCATCCTCAGAAAAAGGGTCTCTAATGGACACCCAACAGAATGAACGAGAGAAAACAGACATCGAGGGGAACGGAGTGAGCCAAGACAACACACTTGAAATAACACCCACTACTGATGACAACGCAAAAACCAACACAAATGGTGGTGAAGAAAGCAGAACAAAAGATGGAGGAAGTGAAAAATTAAGCGAGAAATCGTCCAAGACTGAGCAGAAGAAGAACGCCGACTCAGGATCGCACCGTGCCGGGTTCGACGCCTTTATGACGGGATACATTTTTGCCCATTCATGTACCCTGAACAAGAAGAAAGGAGTGGAAGCTGTAGGGAAGGAGGAGGAAGAGGAGTCCTGGGTTCCTTCGTGTCTCAATAAGGTCTACCTCAGCGGTAAATCTGCTCCTCTCAACGTGGTTAAAAGCACCTTCTCCAAATCATCCAAGGCCCATGTGGCGAAGATGGAGATGGTTTGGGGAAAGAAAGTGTAGTGTCCACACTTGAACACAGTATTTAAGTGTTTATATTAGGGCTGCAACTAATTATTATTTTAATTAGTAATCTGCAGATTACTTTTACGATAAACTGTTTGTTCAATAAATTGTCCAAAAATAATAAAAAAGGAACAACCTCAAAAGACTCAAAGTCCAAGTGATTCAATGTTTTGTTGAGTCCAAACCTATGGTCCAAACCCAAAGATGTTGACTTTAATATAATATTTAACAGAGAAAAGCCAAGATCTAAAAACTGCATTTTCTGGCATTTTTTCCATGGATAATTACTTAAAGGATACATCAATAATCAAAGAAGTTGGTATTTTTTTCTCTGGATGCACCTATTGATTGGTCAATTACTAGTTACAACTCCAATGTACATGTGCAGGTTCAATATCAATAATTGTTTAGCCTGCCAACAGTTTGGCTCAACTATTTGATGGACAGTGCTGAACCCCAGAGGATGGGTAGATCCCCTTCCTCTGTCACTATGAGGTTGACCATTTCTGTTTTTAGTGACACATTTTGACAATTATTGAATAGATTGGCTTGGAATTTGGTCCATGCCCCCCCCCCCCCCCCCTCCCTCAGGATGGATGGATTTAAAAGAGTAATCCCTAACTAGGGAACCAGGATTTTGTGTTGATTTTTATTTGCCATGTTTTAAGAATGATGGAATAGGGGGTCAGTTTGCTTGTGGAACAACCTTTCAGTCTGGCAGTGTTGAAATGTAAGTCTGTTTCTCATGCTCTATACTGTTTTTATTTCTTTGTAAGACTTTTGTACATTTGTACCTACTATTAATAGTATTAAAGACGGTAATAAAGTGCAATTCAGTGGCAGCTGTTTTGATCAAGCCAGGTATTGTTTCTTAAGTTTCTCTGGAAAGAGCCAGATTCTTGATTTGCATTCATTCTTCATTTTAGATGTTTGTATAATTACCTTTTACAGGAGTTACCTTTTGAAAAAATAAATGTATGCTCTTTAAAAATGATCATTGTCTTTATTTCATTATTTACTTATACTGGTTTTATCTTGAAGGATGATTAAAACAAAATGCCATAATTTAATCCCCTTGCTATAACCAGCACATCATTTTTGAATCGACTGTCCATGGAAGTAATAGTTAATATATCAGCAGTGTGGCACCAATTGTACCACACTCACAAGTTGACATCCCATTTTAAATACGTTTTTAAAACGTTTTTGTTTGTAGATACATTCATTTTTATTGTGAACTACAAGATTGATAATCATTTTATTTTTTAAATGTTTGCAAACTGACTACAGTGAAAGTTGGTGTATAGCTCCTACACAGGATAAACCATTTGGTCTTTAGTAACTCAGCCTGTCCTCTGGCGCCACCCTCTGGACAAACATTTTCTTGTTTCTGTTTGTGTGATGGAGAAGGAATTACATTTGTTTGTTGTTACAAATACTTTCAGTTGAAACAGATTCCTGGTGACAACATTGTTTGGAAGTAGTTCAGCTTGAACACATCACTGAGGGTAAAGTATGTCACAGAACACAGGATTATTTAATAGAGGTGTTTTCATTGAATTCAATATCAAAGCAATCACGTGTATATAATGGGGTGCTAGGTGTTGACCGCTGTGGATCACACTGGTTGTGTTGTTCTTGTTGTCTCCTGTCCCACTTCAGGAAGGCCATACACCCAGGAAGAGCCCTGCCCTGTGATATCAAAAAAGGCAATGTACAGAGATTAAATTAGTGTAAATCTTCACATGAAACTTTTGTCAAAAAAACAATCATGAAAGAGACAAACTCTGTCTTTAATGTTCTACTTAACAAAACACAGGTCCTTGTGTCCAGTTGCCACAGTATGGTTCACTCAGAGGAACATATAAACAAAGTCTAGTTTATATTTTACATGATGATTGCAATGAAATCACAGCACGTAAGCATTTATATATTTATAGTTAAACACGTTTTATATCAGACACTGGAAGCATTCAGATCTGTAAATTCATATGAAGACATGGACTTCATCTCAGGCTGATTGTACTTTACATTTGAGATCAGATGTTTCATTAGCTCAACTTGCTGTATTTGAGTAATGATCAGACCAACAACAACATCAACAGGTACGTAGGCCAACCACTAATAGTTCAATAACAAGTGCTTTCATAATTTCTTTCCATAGAGGTTTCGTCTTTAGGTTCAAGATAACGATAAACCATGTATTGATATTTGTCTCTGCTGCACATTGTGATTTATCTCTAAGCTAGCAAACTGAAAGCTGCGTGTTATACATTTCCAGTTTAATACCAGTTATATATCTACAGATTCAATATTTATGTTTACAAAATGGACGTAGAGGATTCCATGGTTGCTATGGTTTGACGCAGGACTAGCGTCAATATCGGATCAATATTTAAACCATAACAACCTGAAAACTACCTGAAGACGGTCACGAAAATATTTTCCTCCGCTTTCACTCGACGATTCTGCCAAATTATCGCTTCTTCTCAAGTCTTTTTACATCCCGACAAGAGTCAGAGAACCCCTGAGAGTTATTACAGCGAGAAAACACACTTTAATTATGGAAAATGTAAGATTTCATAACGTTGAAAGTCCCCGTTGTTTCCAATGTGCTTTGCCGTCGACATTTTCAGAAACCTCACAGTTTACTGATGTTTATCAAATCATTTAGTCTCCTGTAACGATAAGTAGGCCTACCATTAAACAGTGTAACTATCAGATTAAGGTCAAGTATACTGTGACGACTCAATTAATACATCTTTGCATTAAAAACTACCAAAAATACACATGCATTCATCAAAACTAGGCTATATGACAATATTAACAAATAAATGTTGTATCTAATACAAATCATTTATATTAACTTTTTAGGCTATATCACCCAGCTTCAAGCTGAAATACATTCATATTGTAACTTTGAATCAAGCTAATTAAAGTCACTCACTTTAACTTAGCATTATTTCCATCATATACATGTGCAATATTATATGTTCAAACAATAAACAGACATATGCTTATTATATAACATTGTAATCACGTCACATATGTGTCACTAAAGCACAATATTAACTGACATGAGGGCCTAAAGGTGGCTCTTGTTTTGTTACCGGACCTGTCTCGTCTTGAGGAGGTTTTCAGACTTTGATTATGTTTCATGTTTCTTCATTTATGATTTTTATCCAACAACCACATCCATCTTTGGCAAGTTAATCTTCCAGCACATAAAACTATAACACATTTGATTTGTATACTACGACATGACAACATACTTGAAAAAGGTCCATCCTGCATGTACTTGTAGAGCCTCATCCTAACATGAGTGTGTGTTGTTGCAGGGTCGAGTGCCCGTCCTCCCGCAGGACAACCAGACAGGAAGGAGAGTCTCTGCCCGCCAGAGGAGGCCTGCAGTCTGCAGACAGTGTCCCTGCTGCAGGGACGACCAGGTGAGACATCTGATCCTCAACTCTGTTCCTTGAAATTGTACACAGTTTAATCCACAAGATTGTTTGACAGGTTTACAAAAAGGTAAACACATAGTGGAGTATATTGTCAATACTAAATAGTTTGAGAAGGTCCATTGTACAGGACTAATGCCCCAAATACTCACATTTCAAGTAATCCTCTGCATCTGATGTAGATGTTTCCTCTTGTAAAATGATAAAAGTATGTTGTTAAGTAAGAAGTTTACTAGAGTCTGACATCCTCTCGTGTTTTGCTGACCTTCTCCAGGTGCCACATACAAAGCGCCGGCGCCCTGCTGCTTCTGCAGACCTTCCCCAGAAAAGGAAGCAGACCTCCGCGGCTCTTCCTCCTAAACCTGCTGACCTGCCACCTGTCTCTAATGTGGCCTCCAGCCCCCGGACCTCCAATGCTCCCCTGCACCTCGAAGACCCTATTAGGATCCACAACCGCTCAGTCGAGGAGTACCAGCTCATCTACCATGAAGTTGTGGATAACATGCTGAGGTACGTTGCGTCACAAATGAGTCAGTTCATTTACAGAGTTTCCACTCTCTTAGAAATCTATCTCTCTATTTTCCTTCATCATAAAGATTTATTTTTGTGTTTCTCCTCTCAGGTTCCCGGACGGTCGCCTGCGTCCATATAGTTTGGGTCTGGGTCGTCGTATCAAGCAGAAGCTGTGGGAGCGACTGGACCGTCCGATGTTCACAGAGACAGTGGATGAAGACGGTCTGGTTCATGTGGACGTGTCCTACGGTGCTGGAGTCCAGCCTCCGCTCTACAACGTGGATGTTTCTGGTGAACCAGAGCCCGAATATCCACCAGCAAAAAGGGCAAAGCACTAAGACACACTCTCATAAGCTGACATGTCTAATAATACTGTGCTTTAAGTTTAGTTTAGTTTTTTTTAAAGTATGGCAGATAAGTTTAAGTTTATTAAGTGTAGAGATACGTTTTTAGTGCCAAGCATAAGTATTATGTGCTAAGTCTTTAGTTTTAAGTATTTAGTAATAAGTATAAGTCTAAAGTGTTAAGAGTAAGTGTTTAGTTTAAGTTTTTAGTTATAGTAATTTGTTTGAAGTATTTCATATTAAGTGTTACGTTTTTAGTGCCAAGCACAAGTATTAAGTGTCAAGTCTTTAATTTTAAGTATTTAGTAATAAGTATAAAGTGTTAAGAGTAAGTGTTTAGTTTAAGTTTTCTGTTTAAGTACTAAGTTGAAGTATTAAGTATTTAGTGTTAAGAGTAAGTATTTAGTAGTAAGTATAAGTATTTAGTGTTTAGTTTAAGTATTTAGTAATAAGTTTAAGTATTTAGTGTTAAGAATAAGTAGTGTTAAGAGTTAGTATTTAGTTGAGTTAAGTTTACTTTCATTGATCTTAATGTATCTCACCACTGATGAATTGTCTTCCTCTGAATCAGTTCCTGCTCCTCTGTTAACAGTCTTCTTACTCCAGCTTCAGCCTCAACAGCAACAGTTATCACCTGCCAGAACACCTGCTCCACCCTCCAGCCTCCACCTGTTACTTCTACCAGACAAAACATCAGCCTTGAGCTGCAGCCTGTGAGATGACAGACTCCTCTCCACCTGCAGCCTCTGTCTCTCTGTTGCCTACATCCTCTACCAGCAGCTTCAGCATCAAACTGCTGCCTCACTCTTCACCTGCAGCCTCTGTCAGCAACCTGCAGCCATCTCCTCCAACTGCACATTCTGTTGAATGGCTGATGGCTGAACCTCCATCTACAGCCTTTGCCAGTGCCTATACCTCTCGAAGTGAACTGCTATCCGAGCCTCCACCCACAGCCTCTGTCAGCAACCTGCAGCTTCCGCCTCCACCTGCAGATTCCTACAGCCATCTGAAGACGACCACTGGGGGAGTGGTCGTCTTCAGATGAAGATCCCCACAGAAAGCTGTGGCCAAACCTCCACCTACAGCCTCTATAAGGAAACCTGCACAGATGTTATCCTACTGCCATGTGGAGACCTGAGTGGAACAGCAAGGACCAGAGAAACACACGTAGATATAGTCCTTCAGTTAATATGCAAACATATTTCTGTGTTATTAAAGCTGGCTCTCTGTTTACATTCAGTTCACTTGTTCTTCTTCTCACAGGTGTTTTCAAACGTTGTGAAAGACTGAGCTCACACTCCTCAACATGAACCTGACTGACTGTGATGATGCCTTCATGAAACGAGAGAGCTCCACTGTACGTACAGTATAGCAGTATGAGATTTCTTAACAACACTCTGAGTGTATTGGGATTTTTAATGGAAGTTCGGTGATGAATTATATTTGAATGCAACACCTTACACTTCCAGATCTACCAGGAGCTGCTTCAGGGCCCTGAGGACATCTCCTTTTACAACAGCTCTGTTCCAGAGATGCTTCCTCCTCCTCCACATCCTCCACCTTCACCACCCCTCCTGCTCATCGCCAGAACTAAGAGTGCCCCACCCCATCTCAGCAACCACCACCAGTTTCTCCTGCAGCCACCGACCTAAGAGGAAGAGACGAGACGTAAAGAAAAAAGGAAAGGTAAAGGCAGATGCAGGGAAGACGGTGCCCCTCAACACCAAATCCCCCACATGGGGTGGATCTGCAAGAAACGCCAGATGAGAAGCAAGGGGCCGAGTCATCCCTCAGAAAAAGGGTCTCTAATGGACACCCAACAGAATGAACGAGAGAAACAGACATCGAGGGGAACGGAGTGAGCCCAAGACAACACACTTGAAATAACACCCACTACTGATGACAACGCAAAAACCAACACAAATGGTGGTGAAGAAAGCAGAACAAAAGATGGAGGAAGTGAAAAATTAAGCGAGAATCGTCCAAGACTGAGCAGAAGAAAACGCCGACTCAGGATCGCACCGTGCCGGGTTCGACGCCTTTATGACGGGATACATTTTTGCCCATTCATGTACCCTGAACAAGAAGAAAGGAGTGGAAGCTGTAGGGAAGGAGGAGGAAGAGGAGTCCTGGGTTCCTTCGTGTCTCAATAAGGTCTACCTCAGCGGTAAATCTGCTCCTCTCAACGTGGTTAAAAGCACCTTCTCCAAATCACCCAAGGCCCATGTGGCGAAGATGGAGATGGTTTGGGGAAAGAAAGTGTAGTGTCCACACTTGAAACAGTATTTAAGTTTTATATTAGGGCTGCAACTAATTATTATTTGAATTAGTAATCTGCAGATTACTTTACGATAAACTGTTTGTCAATAAATGGTCCAAAAATAATAAAAAAGGAA